TCAATATTCAACACAATAGATTACACTGTACCATCTATATTAAAAATGAATTTTTTAAACAAATAAATATGTTCAGTAGGGTGACAGACAGTTTTACAGTTCACCCAACATTACTAGTCCAACGTCGTGATATTCCTGCAAATACACTCTTTTAATTAATCAGTTGTTTATTTCACAAAATCATAGAGTTTTGTGAAGTGATGTCGGGTCACGAGTAGTGCAAAAAAGGTAATGCGCAGCTCGTAATTACCAGCAAAATGAAACTATGGCTCCAAGTAAAATGTAAATGCATCCCCTGAAGAAAAATAACACACACCTGCGGTTAAAGACCAAAAGAGAAAGTAAAAAAATCAACAATTAACAATGAAAGCATAAATAAAACAAAACCGTTGCTGCCTAAATAGCAGAGCCGGTTAGTCCTGTTTAGAGGTAATGCAGATAAACAGGTTGATTATCAGAAGATTTTATAGACTAAAGATCGTTGATCAACCCAGTTTATAGTCACTTTGCTCTGTTTGCACATTTGCAGTGGATTGAAATGATTATATAAATTATATACAGTAAAAAAAGTCATTTTAATGTACAAACCATTACACATCCGTCACAGTCTCATACTGACAAACATAACCAGATACCTGGGTTGGTTGCTAAGGGGTTGCTATGTGGTTGCTAGGGTACCCAGGGTACCACATAGCAACACATTAGCATAGCAACCACCCCAGGTACTTGTCTTACTAATATTTTTGATATTTAATGTAGTGCATTATTTTTTTTAAAAGTGTTATTATGATGGCAATAGGCTTTGACTGCATGCATATCGAATTTAATATGTCAAACAAATTTTGCAAAGACATAATGGTTTATTTGCATGTTTCCACAGATATCTGTTCGACATCAGCGGCCAGAAGGCGACTGACGCGACTAACGAGTGGCTGGAATGGGAAGCAACAAGTTTACAGGTGACTATCGCAAAGATTAATGATGAATATGAGACCACAGGTTATTGTTATAGTTAGGTAATCGCAACAGATTACATATACAGCACAATGTGTTTGAGAAGAAAGCATGTAAAAAAAAAAGTTTTTACAGTAAATGCATCAGATAAAATAGTTTAAATGCCTCTCGTTGGCTCGGATTCACTTTAACAAACATGTTCTGGATTAGTTTCTCTTTTGGGCATCCTGTAAGTCTGCATGTTTGCACAGCGCGGTTTACAACATTCCCATCGAAACCTTCCATCGCTTCAGGTTTAGGTTAGTTAGGTTAGTTAGGAAGGCTGTTTCTGGACCACGATGTGACCAGCATGTCTTACTTCACTCAGAAAGGGTATACATTTTATGCATAAGATTTATGCATTTGAATTGCATGTAAAATTTCCATGCATTTTGATTTAACAGTTTAAACAACAAAATAAAAACTAACTGATAAAGTTAATGTGATGGATATACGTCAGTCATACATCAATGAAGCGGCTCAGATTTATGCACTCAAAAAAATCATGGAATAGTTTATTATTAATTATTTGCATCTGTTTGATTTAATTTAAATCATATTTTCAAAATGCATTCTTGGAATCGACTATTGTGAAAACTCAAATTAATGATGAAATGTTAAAATATGAGTAGCTGTGGATCAAGCAATATTCAAATCGATAAATGTACAAGTTTAAATATTCATATGAAATATGTTTAATATAAAATTCAGATAA